CATAGCGGCTTTACGCTGGGATCGAAAGGGATACGAAGTGCATCGTTATGGGAGTGGGTTGCACTGCTAGAGCAAAGCGGGAGGGGGGATCTGTGATGAGCTTGTTTGTCACCTTTGGAAAATACAGAAAAAGACAAGAGTGTGTCAGAGCATGTCTGCGTGGCATGCCCTAAAGCCAGCGGAGAGCAGACCTGGGATTGCCATGGTGGCGGCATCCGAGTCGCCAAGATTTCAAGGCCAGAGCGCGAGACCTCGCACCCCTGCTCTGAAGTTGGACAGCTCAGCCAGAGGAGGAACAGGTGATTCTCCTGGTCTCAGGTGTCGGCTTCCCTGTATCCAAGATCCAGGGAGGTAGCAGGTCGCTTAGAGGAAAAAACACCCCACCCCACCAAGAAGGGTTTGGTCAAGTTGTGCTCCCCGAGAAGATGCATCTCTTCAGACTCTGCAAAAGAAAAAAGAAAATGAGACAAAACGTTGCCGATGGCTGGAGTCTAAAACTATGGGCAGAAGAAGAAAAGAAGGCTGGCTGATTCCACTTCCCTGTTTTGTGATTCAATCACACCAGGAGGACGGCCTGATCCGAAGTGCGTTGGCAAAGGTAAATGGGAGGCAGGCCTGCTCAGAGTCTACTAGAGCTTTTCAGAAGACCGAGAGGCCAACGTTGAGCTGAGCAGCTAATGGAGTGAATCATTCCACTTGTGTGGGCTGGCCGGCCAAAGGCAACAGCCAAAAGGAGGCAGGGTGTTTAATTGCCGCCGGATAGAACACCAAGCCACTCCCTCCCTCCTTTCCCCTTCCCTTTGATAGCAATTGTTTATTTTAAGGGGAAATGATCCAGTCCTCCAGCGAGTGGCCAGTGAGCCCTGAAAGCTGTGAGTCCTGCCTTTTGGACAGGTGAGATGAGATGCGTCCAGCATGTTGCATAGCAGGGGCAACCGTTGCCAGTTGTCCCTCCTCCGGGCAAGGCAACACAACTTCATGCCCATTTTACACGCATAGGCACTGGGGACCTGGCCTCTTGACAGACAGGCTGGGTTGCACTCAGTGGACAGGAGGAAGGGGACAGGCAGCTTTTCTGTCGGAAGAGGAGTGGGTAACTCCTAGAGGGCCGGCAAGCCGTGTATGCTCACACCTGGACCTTAGAAGGTGTTACCTCGCCACACCTTATTTTTATTTTTATTTTTAGAAAATTCCTTGTACAACCCTGTTCACACCATTTAACAAGAGCAGGGAGCAATTTCAGCAGTTAACTTCCTACCTTTTGGGGGGGGATGACTGTTTGTTCCCTTTTTTAAGAAGTGGATTGGGTGGGAAGTTGTTTCAAGGCAGTGGGGGCCACATCTAGACCCTCGTAGATGACGAGCAGCCCACTCTGGCTTCAGAGGAAGGAAACGGGACTCAGACGTGGCCTCCATCCATCCCAGGTCAGGAACGTGTAAATCTTTAGAGCTCAAGGTGGTTGACTTTCTCCAAGTCCTTTCTGTATTTACATCTCACCCTTGTTTTGCATTCTCTGCCTTTCTGCGTAGACGTTACTGCACATTTTATTGGTGAATTTTTCCTATAATGCAGTAACTATTTCTGCATTTTATCTTGCTAGCACATTCTTTCCGCCTCTTGCCTAAAGGCACGTCTGGCTGTTGTTGGGTGTTTTTTTTCCAATAGTGCGTTTAGTCATTCATGTTTTAAATTGTGAGCCCTGCTTTGAATAACGCATTTCTCTGAGACCCCCCCCCCTTAATCTCTCCTGAGGTAAGGTTCATTTCTTCAGTCAACGAGTCTCGGAAAGAGGCTGCTTCTGTTGAGAGGGTTGTATCCAGCAAACGTCCTTCTCCCTTCCAGTCCTGGAACCCACCTTCAGCCTAACCAGCTACATAAAAGCAGTTTCGATTTTCCCCTAGGGCTTCAAACCACTTGTTACGTCTCTGTCCATCTATTCCAGTGGTCCCCAAACTTGGGTAACCTAGCTATTCTTGGACTGCAATTCCCAGAAGCCTTTGGCACCAGCTGGGATTTCTGGGAGTTGTAGTCCAAGAACACCTGGTCTATTCCTTTGCCTCATCTTCTCTTTGCCCTGCTAAAGATGCTCCGAATTTTGCTCCCGGGTGTTTTCTTCAGGTCAAGCCAGCAGACCAGTGATGAGATGCGATCCTCCAGGTGAACACCAGTGTCCCTCGGGGCTGGCAGTCTCGCAGCGCTTCTCTCCCTTTGCTGCGCAAAGAGGTCCCCTCTGACAATATATAGATGGACTCGTGTAGGGACGGAGCGCAAACCCTTCTACTTTGCATTGCAGGCAATACTATGAGATGCTGTACAACACAGCCGACGAGCTGCTGAACCTGCTGGTGGACCAAGGCGTGAAATACACGGAGCTGGAGTACATCTACGCCCTCCACTTACTCCATCGCAGCCAGACCGGTGTTGGGGACCAAACCGCCCAGAACATGAGGCTCCAACGCCTGAAGGAGATCATCTGCGAGCAGGCAGCGATCAAACAGGCCGCCAAGGATAAGAAAATCACCACGGTGTAAATTGGCTCCCCGTGGTTGCTTTTTTGTTGTTCTGTGGTGGGGGTGGGGGTGGGGGGGGGGAAAGGGAGGGCAGTG